ACCTGTGTTTTGAGGCCATAACCCTATTCACTGCCATGACTGAGGCTGCTTGTTGGGTTTCCAAGAGTCCTCCTGACTGTTATGAACGGCCAAACCCCAACCACTTCTAGTGGAGATCTTCCCCAGGGAAACTGCTCTGGAAACTCTGCTCAGGAAAGAGAGGAGAAACTCCTGCCATCTTTTATGCAAAAAAATTATATTATTCCAGGCAGCTCTGACAATAATTGAGGTAACCCGAGCCAAACACTTTAAAGTCTTTCCCTGTTAAGAATCACATTTAATGCAGGTTTGCAGTTTGAAGGACCAAAGCTTTTGGGGAAAGATCTTACAGCACCGATGCATCTTGGAGCCATAATGCAGCGGCAACCAGGAGAAAAGCTTTCCAGCTTATCCAGGTCAAACCCGGCAACCCAAACATCCCCCCCGCCTTCAAATGCTGGCAGTTTCTGGACAGCAGCACGTATAAGATAACCTCCTCTGCCAAGCCACCACTGAACGGTTTTGAGAGCAGCAAAACTCAGTGTGGGGAGCCGGGCAGCATCCAGTGACACAGATCTAATCGCCTGAGCATTTGCCCCAAATGTCTCTCTGCCAGGCAGTGACATTTCTGCGCTGTCTCGGCTCTCTCCCTCCATCACCATGGCTACAGCAACCACCAATCCACGGATGAGTCCTTCCAGGGTACCACCAAACCCTCTGGGAGATGCTACAAGAGCCAGCCTCTTTGGCAGGGAGACACTTCGGGGACCCTGGGACAGCCCGTAGCACCAAAAATTCCCCTTTTTCTTCTTTCCCTCCTCCTTTGTTTTTTTTTTTTTCTTTCTTCTTTTTTGAAGCACAAACAATGGAGCTAAAAGGTTGGGTATCAGGCCGATAATCATGAATGACGTGTCGTTATTACACACCACACATTCATTATCTCCCACTCCAGCCATGTCACAGGCGGCTGGAGGAGGGCAGATAACGGGGTGCCTTCATGCAGATGGCTTATTATCAGGATGTTCCAGGAGGGGCTTTAAGACAGTTAGTGATGCTGTTTGCCAGTTAAAGATTAGAGACCCCAGAGAATAATTAACAATCCCAAAACCCAGTTTTTCTGCTGGATTCTTCTGCTTTCTCCCCCCTCCCCCGTCCTCTTTAATCTATTCACTCTAGCAGGTGTAATAAAGTGATAAGGACAGGCTCCGGGGATGTTTGTTTGGCTACTACGGGTGTATAAACCAACAATGGATGGTATTTTACTTCTGGCTTTCAATGGCTTGAATTGAGACCAAAAACTTTGCAGCCCCCTTGCCCACACATAACAACCCCTACATGCCGTGCTTCCAGCTCCCACCAAGGTGACTGGGTTCCTTCCCCAGTCTGAAGGACCATGATGGTGGGACAGGCTCCCTTTTTGCTTTTGGAGGTCCAAATCGCATTGCTTGCATGTCAAGGCACTCAATGCCAGGACATAAATGCCAGGCTACAGTGCTTGGGGCCAGGACTGGAGCTGGTGGTCCTTCCAGCAGCAGTTTACCTGCATACGGCAAGTCTTTAATTAAACCACCTTGGAATAATTTATATGTTAGGTGTTCACCTGCCCAAGTTGCTCCAGGATTGTGGTCACAGCTGGAACAGAAACACCTTAGACCGACCTCCACAGCTAAAGAGCCTCAGGAGAGATCATGGAAACATCAGAGTAGAAGTGGATTTGAACAAGATGCCCCATTATCTGTGAGTCCAAGGGATGAGTTGCACCCTTCTAGACCACGAAGGAAAGCTGTGATACATCTTGTAACAAGTGGTAATGCAAAAACACCACCCTGAATATCTTCACCCAAAAGGAAACTATCCTGTCCACCACGGGTCCCAACCCTGACCATCTTCCTGATGCCCAAGCTTCAGAGATACTGGCATTACCGAATGAGGGGTAGGATGGGGCACCCACAGGTGTCCTTCCTCTTCACAGGTGAGCATGGGGTGATCTGTGGCAGACACAGTCACCCCCCATGCTGTGTGGAGAGAGGTGCTGGGGAGGATTTGGCCCCTAGGCAAGTTGGCCTAGGGTCCTTCAGAGAGGTCACCAAAGCTTTTGCAGGTGTCCATCACCTGGGGGATATCAGATACAGCCCTGGCTCTGGAGGGCATCCCCCAGCTCACAGGATCAACACAGCAGGCACAAGCACTGGGATACCAGAAGTTGCCTTCCCGATCACACTCATCCTGCCAGGGAGAGATGAGGCAGCATTATGTTTTAAAGAGCATCCCCGACCCTATCAGCAAAAGATGAGATATCCTAATTATGGCAGTACAGGCGAGGATCCGGGCCGTATCAGCTAGCACAGAAAGGTAAACAAGAAATATAACAATGGACCCTTAACACTCATTAGCTGTCAGATAATACCTCACTTTTCTCCCTTTGGGGCTTAAAATCTAATTAAGATTTTCCAACAATAAATTTCATTTATGCTTGCTCCCTTTTGTTCTTTTTAGGATCACACTGAGAAGCAGCCATGAGCTGGCTGCATGGCTTGTGGGAAAGCAGTCTGCTTCACACAGCCAGCCTTGGGTCGTGCTTGACAGACAAGGGAAACTGAGGCATGACGGCGTCATGGGCATTGCAGACATGAGGTCCCACCAGGGAGGTAACACAGTGGTTCTTGCAAAAGATGTTTTCCCCGGGAAAGTGAACTCTGAAGAGGCACGGGCTGGGATAAAACCAAGCATCAAGGTTCCTGAGCTAGCCCAAAACGTGCAGCGGTAAAACCCCATCCCTCTGCTTGCTTGGACCTAAGACCACAGGAGCCATCCATGGTGAAAGGGACCCCCCGAGCCCCCAGCACACCCCTACTCCAAATCTACACCCAGGCACTGCCAAGGCAACAGCTCGGGCATTTGTCACATATTCAGGGTGTGGACAGGGCAGGGAATAAACTCCCACTGTTACTCATTATAAGGATGCCGTTTCTAACTCCTTTTGCAACAGAGAGGTAAAAATTAATGGGTTCCCCTACTCTCACCACACCCCCAGCCCCCAGCCTGACTGCTGACGTGGCAGGAACATGCAATGACTAATCCTGCTTAAACCCTGCTGAGCGAAGCAGTACCGCTGAACTCCAGGGAGCTTGTTTTTTCCAAACCCGCGTGATGTTCGGCACCTGCAAGAGAAAAGTCAGGGAAGCAGCATCCATCAGAGGCACAAGTGAAGAGGTCCACAACCCAGCCTGGGGCTGGCTTAGTCTCCACCAGCCCAAAGGAAGGTGGTAGAAGGGAACAGCTCTGACTTAATGTTGGGGACGACAGCCATCGTGCCTCCACACCCAAGGGCTTGACCCCTCCAACCCTTCTGCCTGTTTTTTTCTACCCTCACACAATTTCTCACCGAAGCTGTGATTTCCCAGCAACAAATCTTGAGGGCATTTTTAAAATGCTTGCATACATGAGGCTTTTCAGGGAGATGCCTTTCAGGGTGGGTCTGTTACTGGAAGGTTCCTGTTTTACTCCCATGCCCGAATTTTTGTGTCACCACCCGCTAGGGACCTCAACAGCTTCTCTTGTGGGAAGTGAAAGTGGCACCAGGCTCCAGCTCCATACTCCATCCTGAGGGTTCCTTGTGGTGGGAAATGGCCCATTTTGGGCTGAGCTCCCCACCAGGACTGTCACATCTTTGCTTCGAGGACTACTCCTCCCAGGTTTCAGTGCTGTAGGGTGTTTTGCAAGACCCTACCTGGGGAAGAAGCCTGCTGCTGGCACCATGCTGGGCAGCACCTCCTCCAGAACAGGCCTGAGGTTTTTAAGATCACTGGTAAGCGCACAGGAGCAAGAACAGCCCTTGCAGAAGGGAAGCCCGTTCAGGGCTGAAACACAGAGAGCAGGAGCTCTACTAGTGAGAGGCAAAGAGGCACCTCCAGCCCCAACAACTATTGCTGGCATCGTTACCTGCAATGGGCCTCCAAAGCGCCTCCTGAGCAGAGGCCAGGGATCCTCCCAGATCCAAGCCCTTCACAGCTGGTGTTTCACAACGAGTCTAACATTTCCCCTTGCCTTGGCGATCAGAGGGGGCTCAAGTACCTGATGTCCTTGTGCCGCCTCATCCCCCTTGCGTTTGCACAGCCCCCAAGCACAGCAGAGCCCCAAAACCACCCTGCTCCCCCCAAACTCAGGGGCTGTCAATAATGCCCCATCCCATGCCATTTCTCCCAGTCCTGCTCCACCTGCTGCCACTGGGCTGCCCTTGACTGCAGAGCCCCTTAACCCTTTCCTCACTGGTCAAAGGGAGAACTCTGCATGCCACTTGGACAGCTGATGTCCCAGAGAAGGCCAAGGCATTACAGGTCTCTCATTTCAACCTGCAACCACCATGGCTTGGGAGCACTCTTTGCTCCCACAGTGGCCCCAGCGCTGTCCCCACCACAGCAAAAAACAGACTGGTTAATGAACAGCCTGGCAGGAGCAGGTTGCACCGTGGCCAGCTGCCCTGGGGAGAGACAGCACTGCTCAGAGCAGCCTGCAGCCACATCCTGGCAACACCAGTAAGTGATTGCCATCCCCAGCTCCCAGCCCTGGGAATGGTCCACAGTTGGCTGTGGGTCTGTACACTGTGGGATTTGGGGAATGCTGCCTTTCACCCACTAAGCAGTGCTGAGTTGCTGTGCCTCAGTTTCCCTACCTGACAACTGAAAGGAAATTATGTTCACCTCCCCATACAGCCTGTTGCAGCTCTGGGGCAGTCCAAATGCCGAGCAAAAAAAATGTTCCAACTTTTTCTCTCCCCTGTTGACACACAGACACATGCAAAAGTGCTCTTGGCCTCATCCAAGATGGATCCTACCCAGGAGAGATCATGGGGAAGATGGGGCTGCTTATCTCTGTCTAAGCACCCTTCCCACCCCCACACCACCTTCCCACCCTGTCTTCCCTTTCCCCAACTGCCTGAAGGCTGGGAGCGCTTCGAGATGCCAGAAAGTCCTTTGGGTGATTAGCAAAATGACCCTATTTGCTGTCATATGGGCAACAATTCTCTTTATTGCCCACAGGAAAGATATATACAGGGAGAAGGTTTGTTCTGACATTAAAATGCATGGTGTAGGTTGTAAAAAGCAGGATGAAACGTGGAGAAGAGAGCAAGATTTCCATCAACAGCTCCCCAGAGGGTGGCTGGGTGTGTGGGGAAGTCCTAGGCACCCAGCCAGGACCCCTGCACCTCTGGAGCGGGTCAGCACCCCCCTGGGACTGGAATCAGCCTCGCCAACCAGATGGGGTGAATGCCAGGCAGAAGAGGTGGCACCTGCAGACCTCTCCTGGGACCTCTGCCTGCATGGACACCAGCCCCCGAGGCAGAGGAACACATCCAGCAAGTGAGAAGGGAAAAGATCAGGAGACGGAGAGGTCAGAAGCCACCACGCATGGGGGATGCTGGTGCAGAGGGTCCCTGTGAAGATGCCCATGGTGACAGCGGGAAGCAAAGTGAGAGGAGGAAGAAGGGCAGCTGGCCGGGACACCTGCTACATGGCAGTGGTGATCACCCTCTCCTCAGGCTCCACGGTGTTCTCATAGGCATGTTCGCTCTCTTTGGACCTGTGTTGGGAGGGAGAAGCACAGCGGTGAGCTCACCCCCAGCAAGACCAACCTCCCTGAAGACCCCACCCTGACCTTGCTGGTGCTGGCCCTGCACTGAGGGGTGAGGTGGGGAGGGCAGGAGGGGTCCCTCTGCCAAGAGGAGAGCCAAGCAGAGGCTGGGAATTACTCTAGAGCAGGCTAGAGTCAGATGACAGTCAACATCTGCGTGGTGGCCTACAGACACTTTTGGTGGTTTACTCTGTTTGAAAGGTGTGGTGCAGCACAAGAAAAATGTGGTGTAGCAGGTTGCAAGGTGGTGGATGGACCATGGGGCTCAGCTGCAGGGATGGGGAGAGACTGGGGAGGAGGGGATACTCCCTCACTGCCTTCTCCTGAGCCCCTCGAGAGGATAAAAGCCCCAAAACTAGGTGCATGGGAGATGTGAGAACCTAAGCGGGAGAGACTGCAGCTCTGCATGTCTGAACTGTCACCAGGGGGACAGAACCTAGGAGCCATGGGGAGGTCTGAACAAGTGCTTCACCTGAAGTCGGCTGCAGCTGTTACGAATCTCCCTTCGTGGCCGTTGGACACAACAGCCTCCTGCTTGTTCTCAACGCTCACCACTGTCTCGACATTTTCCCTGGAAGGGGAGAAGAGAGGAGCTGAGACAAAGCAACAGAAGGACCGTGCCAGGGAACAGCTCACAGCGGTGACAGCAGAAAAGAAGCGACTGATCCAACACTACAGAGACAATAAAGGACCTGGATGTGTGATCCTTGCCTCAGACACCCAGCTCAGCCCCCTTCTCAGCAGAACACGGGCAAGGAGAGACACCCTCATGGCAGATTTGCAGGGGCTGTGCCCAGACACAGAGTGGCAACCCCTGTCTCTGGAGCTGAGACTCCCAGTGCCGGGCTGGTAGTCAGCAAGACTCATTTGTCAATACGTGGGATTGTTTTCTCCCACTAACTGGTTTTTCCAGTCCTCTTCTATGTAATCTGTTGCAAAACAGTCTGCCACAGGTCCCAGGTGACACTGAGAGAAACGCCAAGGCTCTGCAGGTGCCGGGGTGCATGTACACACATGCAAAGCCAAGCTGCTTTCTTTCAGATGTGATTCTGGATCACTCACAGAAGGAGCCATGGGGCAGGGACCGGGTGTTAGACCTCAGCTGGAGTTTAAAAGCTCAGCTCTGGAGTGAGCCCGTGTCCCGAATGCACTGGGGGTGGTTTAGCTGTGGAGGGTGGGTGCAGGCCCACCCTGTGTGCATATCCCTGTCTCCTCCAGCACCTGTCCAAAGGCAAGTTCAAAAGTTTTTCCAAGGAACAGACTGGCATAAATAGGCAGCAGCTTGAGCTGATAGCTGCTGTCACAGTGACAGTGCAGAGCTGGCAGTGTGCCAGGCTGCTGAGCCTCACTGCCCGCTCTTCTGAAGAGAGGCCAGATTAATTAAAACAATCCGCCATCCCCCCTCAAGCCCTCCTCAGCATCCTCGGCCTCAGGGCTAGGGAGAGGCAGCCAGGCATGGGCAGCAGTGGGAAACACCGTTCCTGCCTTCCACTCTACAGCCTGGGGGCGCCTCCAGTTCGAGGACAAAGGATCCTCTTTGGGAAACAAAGACTGCAGTTGCAAATCAGACCAAATAAATATATACATATATACATTACGCTATCCACTGGCCCTGAAAGCATCCCAAAGGGCCCTCTTCAAATGCATCTGGGGCAGAAGCTGACCTGCTGAGCACCAGAGTACACCCCACGTCCCCACCTTCTCAGCCTGGAGACACTGCAGGGATGCACGGATACAAAAAGACTCCAGCAACTTTGGGTGCAAAGTGGCTGTGCCAGTGTAGAGAAACTGGAACCAGGCTGTAGAACATTTTGCTCTTCATTCCCACTTGACTTTGGGCTCGGGTTCACAATCATGTTACTGCAACTTAGGCAGTTAGCCTGGGTCAGCTGAGCAGGAGCAACAGCCTGTGGCTTTGCTTGGCTGGCAGCAGGCAAGAGGTAACCAGTCCCACAGAGCCTTTTTCTGATGGTTAAGGCCACCTTGTTCACCTGTGCTATGGGCTCCAGGCAGAGAGCTGCCGCTGCTCAGCTACTTCCCTCTTTTCCCAGCTCTTCCTCATGCCTTCTGCTGTCTTGGCTCAGTCTGCTCTGCAAATTAAGCTGTTTTGGGCTTGTTTTCCCATGGATATAGCACACCTGGGAACTGCACCCCCAAATCTGTGGGAATCTAGGCTCAGGTCAGCCCCGAGATGTGTGCCCATGTAAACCAGCCATGATGCTGAGGCTCTCCTGTCCCCAGCAGTGCTTTCTCATGGCAGCATCCGAGTGCTCTGCTTGGGGGTGTCCCTGTGCAAGGAGCAGGGGGGATGAATGGTGCACACTCGCATCTGGCAATAAGTAACAGGGAGCAGAGACCAGGACAGGGCGTCTTTGCTTTCCCCGCCCGGCTCCCAGCACAGTGATCACAGTGTTCCCAGCCCTGGCATGGGGACAGAGGCGGCTGGAAGTGATCCGTGCAGAGGCAGCTAAGCCCAAGCCAAAGCAACCCCCAGCGCTCCCACACTTACACTTTCTCCTTACACCAGAACCTGTTGACCACAAAAGCGATGGCCACCAGGACTAGAAACACAACCACTGCAATGACACCCTGTGACCATGGCTGGAGGCTGCCCCGGGCTGCAGAAAAAAAAAAAAAAGAGGACAAGTGTTAGAAATACATCTTCAGGTTTTATCTGCTTGGCTGAGCTTCTCCCACCCGGCTTCACCAACAACCAGCCAAGAGCTTGGTCCTGCAGAACCAAGCAGAGTGTGCTGCTGTTAATCCAGGCAGTTTTATCTGGGTGATAGCAATGAAAAAAGTGCAAATAACAGCAGTTTTTCTGGTGACTGCATGTGGAGCACGGTGCCTTGCAGTTTAGAGGCCCCATATATACATACATATATGTACACAGTGGGGCACAGGTGACTCTGGAATGGGGGAACAAAGGACCGGGGAACATGGAAGAAAGGAAGATGGTTGCCCAAAGTAGCAGGAGAAAGGCAGCAATGGGGTTTCAGCAAACTGTTTATTCTCCATTCCCAGATGCCACAGACAATGTTCCCAGGTTATTTTCCAGACATTGCCCAGTTAAATAAGGAACCCACAACAGGGACAGCATAAAATTCAGTTGTTGCTCTCACAGCAAATGGTGGCCAGTGTGGATTTTAGTAAAACCTAACATTCAACAAGTTTCCAAAGCAGCAAGCTGATTTATGATGGGAAACAGAAGGCTGAAGTCTGCAGAGCAAGAGCTTCCAGCACAAAGGCCAGGCAGAGCTGGCGGGGGGCCAGGTCAGGGGGTAGCAGGGGGTGGCCGGGAGCTCCCCTGGGGCAGACAAACTCACAGATTCATTTTTCTCTAGCCAGACCTGAGCAGTGATCCAACCACGGGTGGGAAGGCTGCTAGACGGATTCCTGAATGCAGGAGGAACTCAAGGGCAGCTCGATGAGAAGAAGAAACCCTGCCCCAGTCCTTGCTGGGATGGCTGCTCCTCACTTCCCACTGGCTTTTGGGCAATGGAGCACTCAGACATTGCCAAACACATCCCAAGTGTTGTCACATCAGCACCAAAAGACCTTGTCGACACAGACACAACCCTTTGGGATTTAGTTACTATTTGTTCAGTCACAGCTTTTCCTCTTTCTACTGAGTGAAACACCAACTCTTGCACACAGAGGAGGTACCTCTGCGCAGGCTGATGGAGCGGGTGGGGAATGCTCTCTGCCAGCTCCAGCATCAGCTTTGGACCACTTGGACCCAGGGCCTGCCATGGGCACTGCGAGGCTGAGCTGCCCCAGGACAAGTGCACTGGTGCTTCAGTCTGACTGGGGAGCTTTACGCTAGCTGAACACTTCATCTGTCTCACAGGGGACAAATCTCTGCTATAAACAGCAAATAATATTTACTAGCAGCAATAAAGGTGGGTTGTGTGCTCCACATGTGTGAACTCATCCACAGCCAGCTCCACTGCTGACAGCCCTCGTCTCCTTCCTCTGGTTTTGGGGAGGAGGACTGTTAAGACCTCCAGCTCCTTGAGTCCCTACTGCAAGAGGATTTTATTAAAAAAAACCCCAAACAAACAAAAAAAACACCACCAAAAGAAACAAAGCTCCTTTTTCTTCTTGGAAGTGAAATCAGTCCAGCCGACTGATTCACCACCTGCACCAGTACAGAAAGTGGTGGCACTCCTGGGCAAGTGACCGGGAGAGCAGCCCTGAACAACGGCCTTCAGCCCCTCCACCAGGACACTGGTCGTGTTTACTGCAAGGTCCCGGGGCCAAAACTCAAGTGAGAGGAATTCAGGCGGAAATTCCCACTTGTATCAGCATGTTTTGGCTGACATCCCATTTTGTCAGCAGGTTGCTGGTGAGGGTACTGGGGGGCTGGTGGCAGTGAGGAAGAGCACATCTTGGTCCCCTTCTGCCCAGTCTGATGGGCAGGAGATACTCCTGCCCCTGCTGCCCACCACCCCCGTGGGTGCAGCCCCAAACACACCTTATGCCTCCAGGCTGAGCTTTGGCCTGCTTTGCTTCCTCCCTCGCTCTGCCCTTGGCTGTTATCTCAGCCACATTTATTTATTAGTCGTGTTTTATTTTTCCTGCCAGGTCCAGGATTTCCACCCTAAGCCTAGGAGGGGACCAGGTCCAGCCTTCAGTGAGGTTTCTACCAGGGTTAAGGGAGTTCAAGGTCCACTGGGGAATGAAGTCAGCAATGACTGAAATTGCCAAATTTGCATCTCATGATCTTCAAGCAAAGGAGGCAAGAAGACGAGTAGTAGGAAATCTCCTCTAAGCAGCCACGCTCAGGAGGTGATGTATGTTTTTGCAAGTGAAACCTCTCTCAGGTGGCTGTTTCAAAGCCAAAAGGAAAAATATAAACAAAATCAAGCAGTTCTCGCTTTGAGAGACCATTCAGAGCCTGGCTGCAAGGGGAGATGAAGACTGCAGGGGAACAGCAAATGCCTCCGCATGGGGCTCAGATACCCCCATGGGGCGTGAGGAACTCATGTGGGCATGAGAAATGGGAACTAGGCAGAGGCAAATGCTTGAGAGCATCTTCTTGGGGAGCGAGTATGCAGATGTCAGCCCTGGGGGGCACCACCTGGCTGGAGTCCCACCGGAGCACACCTTGCTTCCTTGCCAGGAAGGATGGCCGAAAGGATGAGTCTCGCCAATGGAAACAGGACTGTTTTCCTGGAAAAATGCTTTACCAAGGATGTCCCTCCTGAGACAGCCTTTTCCTCGGGCTCTGCCACCTTCTCTCTATTTCACCCCATGGCAATGATGGGTTTTTTCCTCCTAAACAAGATATTCTAAGCCAAAGTAAGCAATGTGGGGTCTGCACCACCGACAAATGTGTGTGTATGCATCTGCAGCTACAAATGAGACCAAGGGAAGTGCCAATGGCAATATAAGTCCTTGCACCTCCATTTCCATACTCAACGGCTGCTTTGAAGACACAGATCTGCTTTTTGATACATCTTCCCTGAGCACTTGGAAAGCATCAGCTGGCCCCTGTCTTTTCACCTCTGAGGAAACTGTGCCAGGCTCTGAATCCTCATTAAAGATGTTTTTTGTTTTTTTCCCCTCTTTCCAGGCAACAGCAAAACTTTCAATCCTGCTGTCAGTTGGGACCCCAGGCTGTTAAATCCTCAGCAAGTTGGTAAACAAATACAGGAAGAGCGGTCAGGGCTAGGGCATCAGAAGGAGAAAGGGGGGAGGGAATTTTCCAGGACTTTGGCATTATCAGATGAGTTTTAATTACTTATTATTATTTCTAGTGTTAGACATGTCCTTCCACGAATTTCCTAAAAATAATGCCCTAGCCATAGGAAGTTTCTCTATTAAGTCTTCGGGGACGGAATGAGAGGGCAAGTTGAAGAGGAAAATATTTGCTCCCTCACCTCAGCAATGATCAAAATTACAGATTAACAGGAAAACCTGCAAGCTCGGGGAGTAACCCAGCACAAGGATTGCCCAGAAAAAAAAAAAAAAAAAAAAAAAAAAGCAAACTTTAATAAAACAGATTACTCATCCCGGTGCACAGTCCTGACAGAGGTAAATCAGATCTGCTTTATCTCCATGTAAGCAGGTAAGATAAACCTCGGATGGCAGTTTCAGCCTTTGGCAAAACAGGTCAAAAGTTTCTGTGCCCCAGCTCTGGCAAGACCTCCCAGCCCACCAGACACCCACCTGTCCCCATCACCCACAGACATGAAGCCGGAGCTAAAGCTTAGGCAGGAGCTGGGCTGTTTTATCTGTTTCCAAGAGGTTCTTTTGCAGTTGTCCCTTGTCCCCCAGAGCCACCCCACCGAGCAGCTCCCACCTGCCTGGGGCTCGGTGCACCTTCCTGCTTGTCCCCTGCCTCAGTTTCCCCGGGAGGTTCAGGCAGCTGCCTGCACTTACCTTCCTGGCAGCAGGCAGGCTCCAGCTCCAGGAGCAGTCCCAGGAGGAGGAGGAGGAGGCAGCGGGCAGGCATGGCGACACGCAGGGCTGTGGGCTCTCGGGGCGCGAAGGAGCAACCGGTGGCAGCCCCTCCTCGCAGGGCGCTGCGCTTGGGCACGCCGCCCTCCCACAGGAACGAGCGCCTGGTCAATTATCAAACGTATTAACGAGGGAGGCTGATGCTCACACCTGGTTATTCAAATCCCGCTGCGGGAAGGGGTGGAAGGAGGTGCCTCTTTCTTTCTCCCCGCGGAAGCTGGCGAGGAATTCAGGGCACGATGACTTGAACCTGACAGTCCCCTTAGGGTGTGGAAGGGGACTCCGCCACAAAACATTTGCATCAGCCCAGGAGGAAGAAACTACACCCAGATGGGTAAATCTCTTCCTCAGCATGGCTGCGGTGCTTGGGGAGTGTGACTAAAAAGGTGTCTTCCAAGTCCCCCTCCCTGCAGCAGGAAAGCCAGGGGGTCCAGCGATGCCCCAGCTCTGACAACCTTCCCCACTTCATGGGACCCCGGGCCCTGCAGATGCAGGGAGCTGCCTGGCACAGCTCACACTTGCTTCTTTGCTCTTTTCTACTGAGCAAGTGTCATTAACAACCCCGCAAAACACATCTGTGTCTTAAAAACATCCGTTTAATAAAACAAACCCGATGCTGAGTACTGCCTCCCACATCCCACGCCTTGCTTAATGGAGAGACTGTTAAATAGAGTGAAAACAGCATTCATTTTATTGAGCCTACAGGGCTGTTTCCAAAATTTCTTTGACACAGGTGTAGAAACACCCAAAGACCTGCAGCAGGTATCAAGGCTGGCCCTTCACATCAGCTGCACAGATGCTGAGGGACCACAAAGGTTGCAGGTTCCAAGTTAAGCAGCTTCCCAGCCCATGCCAGGTTTGGATGGTTGAAAAACCCACCCCACAGGAAGAATAAAAGCTATTTGGCTTCACGACTGTGCAACTTCAGTCACTCATGAAGGAGATTTTAAAATTATGAGCCAGTGGTTTCACTGTCATTCTCGTGGTGTGTCACAGCATCTCTGTAAGCCCAGCGCCCAGAGCTACTGAGCAACCCCCTCGGCAGCATCTGAGCTCCTAGCCTCTGGGTCTGGTGTTCCCCCCACCCCCCCCGGGATCCCACCTAGGTGCTGGGTCCCCACACAGGCACCCACAAAGGACTCACACTCGGGAATGTGCAGCACCCTCAGGAATACATACCCACCAGTGCAGGATCGCCGTCCTTCATCCCTTGTCTTTTTCCTCTGGATCTAGAATAATGCCATTTATCCTGAAAACAAGTGGGAACTGGCTTGAGCTGCACAAGACTGAAGGTCAGTTCTCAGCTCTCTCCCAAATTCCTTTCCATGGCCAAATTTCCACCTGCAAAGTAGGATAATCTCATTCCCAACCCTGTTAGTTTTCTCTTATGAACTCTGGGGGGCACTGCACTCAGCAAGGAAGTGGCATGACATGGACCTGCCCATAATAAGGCCCTATAAAAGCAGTCTAATGCTGGTACAGAGAATAATGAATGGCCTGTGAAGAAATAAAACTGAGAGGGAACTTTGGGTTCACCACATTATCTATCCAGGAAAACATGCAGAGCTTGTGATCTTTTCTGCCTGTTTATTCCTTGTCTCTTAATAAAAGCCCAGAAAAAAACCTAGCTTTTGAGAGCAGAAGGCTTTATCAGCAGATCAGAAGCCCCAGAGAAGCCGGGCCTGCTGCTGCCCTTGGAAAATTCAAGGTCTGAGACATCTCTCTGCTATTGCTACCCACCCTCAGGTCACGCCTGGGGCTGCGGCAGGTTGCTCAGGGTTCCTTCTGGTCCTCCTCCACTTGTACTTCAGGGTGTCTTCACACCCCAGGGCTCTGCCCAGCCCAGCTCCAGGGACCCTGGGCTGATCTTCCAAGGACAGGGATGTCTCAAGGATCCACCCGGACCCCTCAGTGTGGGGACAGGACATGACAGACCAGCCCCTGAGATGAAGGCAGAGCTGCTGTGCCTCCCAGGCAGGGGTCTTGCTGTTGGCTCTCTCCTGAGGAGCCAATAACACTTTACTATTGCACATTCCGACATTTATATGAATTTTAAGGAAATATTATTGTTCTGGCCTGGCTGATGAGGCCAGGGAATTGCTCATTTTCTTATCTCAAAGCTCCCCTCTACTCCAGCGAGGCTCCCTTAGCCCACGGCAGCTATTAGCAAAAGTATGTGCTATTGTGGCCACAAGCACTGCCTGTGGCACCTGCTTGATTGCATATCGCTGGGTTGGGCCTGGGGGAATGACAAATAACAAGTCACTGTAATGGTAACAGGCTTGTTGCAAGGGCAAAGTCCTAAATTTTGGCACATAATTTGCAATCCAACTCATCCTTTTGTCATTCTGGCTCTGGCTTGGGACCTGCAGAGATGAGAAGCTGCACGTTCCCACTGTAACACATTGGAAATCTTGCTGTGTCTCTCATTTAAGCCTTCAGCATCACATAGCTGCAGTGAGCCAAATCTCTACACGTCCATTTTACAGGTGAGGGAAACTGAGGCACAGAAGTGGCAAATCATCTTGGCAGTATTTACTTAAACCCAGACACAGCTCAGCTCTCTCTCCCAGTGACTCGTGAGCAGCTGGCTGTACAACAGGTCACAAAAAACAGGTCTTGGGATTTCAGAATTTACGCTGGTATCCTCCAAAAATTGGCATTTTCTTCCCACCAAAAAATATGTCAGTTTTTAGCCAAAATTAATATTTGCTCAAAGCACATTCCTGAGCTAAAATGTGTTCCTGGGTGATATGGCTCAGAGCACAGATGCCAGTTCCTCTTCAAAAAACGTTATGGGGCTCTGTGCTTTTTTGGAGGTTATTTTTCTTTCTCCTTCACTTCCTTCCTTCCTTCCTCCCTCCTTCCTTTCCTCCTTCATCCTCTCCATCTCCTCCCCCTCTCCTGGTAAAAGTCATAAAAATAAATAAAATAGATGAGAACAAGCCTGAACATCCCCTAAAGAAGAGATTGTATTTTTTTCCTAGAGAAAAAAAAAGTAATAGTTGCATTTCAATGGCTGCTCTAAAAAGAAAAGGAAAAAAACAAAGCCACAGGCCCAATTTTTAATTTCTTGTTTTTTTTGTCATTTGCCATCACAGCCAAATATTCCCCACCTGCCCCAGAACTCTCTCATTTCCCATGGACACTGGCTTTCAAATCTAGCCTGGGATGGATGCTGCCACGGGAGAGCCAGGAGTTACAGCTGCTATAGAAAGGGCATTTTCTTGGCCCGGTATGCCAGTGTGGATAAACAGAAGAAGAAAAAGGCTTTTTGTCCATTGCAGATCTGTGTTTCAACCCCCTTCTTTAAGAATGCCTTTAAACAGCAATTTATTTTCTTATTCATGTGCTGATGAAAACCTGGTATCAATAGTGTGGCAATGGGGCATGGCCTCATGCTGTCCACATCCTCCCCCGCCAGCCTGGGGTTCAGCTGGGCCATTTGCTCCCCTCCTGAACACACATAGGGCCAAGAAAAAAACCCACATCTGAGCATTTTATTAGGCATTTTATTAGACCATTCATGAGTCCCCCAGGGCTGATGATAACTGCAAGACTTGAATAAGCAGCAGGGAGGCAGGGGTGGCATGGTGGTGGCTGTGATCATTCCTGGACCCTCATTTGGGGAGGATGTGGATTTTCTCCTTCTTGGGAATGCTGGTGGGATCAGCCAGGATTGCTCCTGGCAGTGCACTTGCTGGGAGCTGGTACCCTGCAGCCATCTGAAATGAGGCCCAGACATGGCACCAGCACAGGGGACCAGGTATGCCCTTCATTTTCCCTCAAGATCTGCTCAGTAGCATCGCCATGGCCCATGTGTATCTTATGGGACCCTCTGGATGATGTTTCTTACACCAGTTGATTTTTGGCATGGATCTCTGGGCAGCATTCATGCCAACCACTGTCTCTGCTGGGGCCTGATGATGCTGCTCCATACAAGGGCACCAATGGGCTTTCTCTATCCAGCTGCCCGTTTGCACACAGCTGCCAGGATTTGTCCTCTTTGAGCTCCCTGCTCCTCTGTCTCTGGTGTCAATAGCTGCCAGGGATCTGACAGCATGTTCACATCAGCCTCAGGCCCCACAGCCTTGGAAAATTAGGCTGAGAAACACCTACCTGATCTGTCTCATTTTGCCCTGGACTTGGAGGAATCAAACTAAAAATCCCTGAAGCAAAGAGAAAAATCCATCTGCCTCTGGTCTGCCTTATTGCTGGGGGATGAGCCTGCATCCGTGATCCCCCCTCAGCTTTCTCATCTGTTCCGGGGGCATATTTCACCCCTAATCATCCCTGAGCACAGGGGAAGGTTCCACTGCATTGCTGGAGTGGCAGATAGCCAGGATCCCAATACATGATGCTCAGAAAGGGAGAAGGGAGCTGACTTCGCTCTGGATATTCCCTCCTGCCCAGCGGTATCGAATGGAATGAATAATTTACTATCCGATCATCTCTAATCTTCGTCCCATAAAATCAGCAGCAAGCTGGGAGGGTTTCTGAAGCCTCCAGCTGCATTTGCTGATAAGACATGAGGCAGGAAAGATTGGAAGCCCATAAAAATGATAATCTCAGGCTTCAGTGTAACTTGGTGGAGGGTTTTCTCCTGTCCTTTCGTTAAGGATGGATTTCATGATCTTCCTTAAATAACAACAAGCCTTCTCATGAGGAATCTCCCACCTGAAAAACTGATTGCATCGTCATTAGGAAATAGGAGGCCAAGAAGCCAGAAAAAAATAGCTGGAGCACAGGTTAGTGCAAGGGCCAAGGCTCTGCAGAGCAAATGACACCTAGTTTTATGGGATGGGAGGAAAGGAGGGGATTGGAAGTAATTTCTGAACACAGAGCAAAGCTTTGGGCATTGGGAGTCTGCCTGGGAGAGTTGGCACCAGCACCATGCTAAGCTGCTGGCCACAAGCCTGACCATGAGCCCGGCTGTGGAGCAATGCCCCATCCTCCTTGTCCTGTACCTCCTCGGCATGAAGAGAAACATCACGTGTCATTTTGGTCTGACTTGGTACAGTATCCTCCTCTCCAGCCCCAGATTTGGTGAGTTTGACTGTTGCCTGGGAGAAGATGTTAAAGGAAAAAACCCAACTCATCAACCATTTCCATGTGAATCTCAACCAAGATGGCCAAGAGGAGGAGAAGGAAAGAGTTGGCTGGCTTGGTGGGTGTGGATCATTTCAGGAAATAATTATCCCAGATGCTAGAATAGGAAAA